TCAGTCGAGGTAAAAATGGAGGCTGTTTGTTTAGTTCAAATGACGTGATCGCTACCTTGCGCATGTACCCTCCTTGGCGGTACCTACCTATGCTACCGTACCAGTATGTGTAAGTAGCTTTCTTCCTCGGTGCCGCGATTAAGTCATGCTCGCCACGATAACTGCCAGTGTGGTACATCCCGTCCCCAATGAAGACTGAGACCCGATTGCCGCAGGAAAAGTCCGCTGCTCCATGCGATTGCATGGCTGACACAGGGACCGGACCATGGGAGATCCATGAAGTCGTGGGGTCGCTGTTTGGCAACGTCGCGGCTCGGTGTTCCGGCAACTCTTTGTGTCGGGAATGGGATTGGTAATAACGGCCTGGACAAAAGATACGTAGACATCCGCGCTGAGATGACCAAGCAATCTCTTGCAAACCCGAACCTGCCACGTCTAGCAAATGGCGGATATCCCGCGACACTCGCCGGAAGCCGTGTCCCTGGGCTTGGGGGGGGGCTCTCGTCGACAAATGTGGCTGGAATTCACCGAAATCAAATTCCAGGACCCCGCGCCTCACTGCTCCCCAACCCTGGAAGGCAGCTGTAGGATGAAAGCTCCAGGAGGAGATGCAGTGATCGCTGCAGAAGGCTATCAAAGTTGCAATCCCCGCCTCATCTGGCGTGCTGGTGCCCAGCCTCTTGGCTACGTGGGGGCTGGAACCCGTCCGCTACCCGCGCGCGGGATGGCTGCAAACACGGTGCAAGTGGTACAGACCATGATGGTCATTTTTCAAGCGTGAACCCGACGCTTTGGATAATGCGTCTTTGACAGTAACGTATCTATCTGTGGTTTTGCAGATCACGTCTGCCAACCTTACTCCTAGATTGGGGCCTCTCGAGTTGTTTAAAGACGTGAATACACGCCCCGGTCAGCTCGGTCAGGATGGTGGGGCGGTCCCCGACGTCCGCGTCAATCGGCATGGCGGCTCTCGGTGCCCGGCTGCCGGTTGCGGGGTTGGCCCGATGTCGCTTTGTACACCGAGATCCTGATCTCCAGTTTTCGGTGGTTGCAGTTGTCTGGATACTGATGACATTCCGAGCCCACTCTATTGCCGCCCAGACCCCGCCAGCAACCAAGTTCCCGAAAACTAGTTCCTGAAGATCCGCTGGTGCGGGACATCATTGGCCAATGGCCGCAGTCAAAAGGTGTCACCGTCTCATGAATTTCGTCTCCACGAAGTTTCCTTCACTCTGTTCCACACCCGGCATCGAGAGGTGAAAACTCAAATTCTCCCCTATGACGCCAGAGGAGGGTCCCGAGGGCACATCGATAGCAACGGAGTGACCTCTGTACAATTATTCTCCTCTTGGGTGTGTCCAAGTCGATAGCCCTTATGTGCAGGTGCCGAGGGATTTTGGAGTTGACGTCTGGCGCCCAGATTACAAAGTAATATTTGGCGACGAGATGCCCCTTTCGACGTGCCGATATCAAGGTGACGTTCTGCTTTGACGTCCGGGAGCTTCATTATACTCGGAACGTCCTCTTGTCTCTAGATCAGATTTGACCTAAAGGAGCAAAAGCACGTCCACCATTAAGCACCTTGGTTGGTCCGCAGAGCATGAAACTTGGTTCACTCGCGACCGATGTTTTGCATCTAGATATTCTCGAGAACTCGGCGCTTGCAGCATGACTGTCAGCTCGGCGCACCAGAGGGTATATCCATTTGACGACGTTGACCTCGAGAGCAGGATAGATGCCCAATCTAGTCTTCTTGAGTGACTGCCGACCGACCAGACCAATGATCGGCTCTGATAGCCAGACCATGCTTCAACGTTAGTCCGTTTCGGCTCATTCCCTCAGCAATCGACTTCTAGTCCTTGACAAGATGTAAGAACGAGACGCTCGAGCGTGGTCAACAAATCAACCGTGGGAAATCGGCCGTGAATGAGTATTACTTGCCATTCGTGTCGGCCTAGATGTTGACACTTGATTGCGATACTAATGCCATGGGCCAATCAATCTGCATCGAAGGAGGAGCTCACCCCTACCGGTTGAAATGCACGGCCAACAGGTTGGTTGTCGTGCTAGCAACTTAGGCGTAGTTGGTGGTGGGGGTTGTTGCCTTATGCCACATGTTAACAGAACGTCTGCAGACAACTCCAAAAGCCTACTGCAAGACCGGTCGATTCCTGCGCTGTCTGTACAGCGTGCCGAGTGGTGAAGTCATGGATCTTGCACGGTCCCAGCGCAGCCACCTGGAATGCAGTAGCATTGAAGCGAATGCCAGGCTGCTGACAGTCCCGGGCCGAGGATTTTGGCGCCTGTGTCAACTTTTGATTAACATTGCAGATACGGACGCGAGCCGTGTTGTTTTTATCGTTGAAATCGTATGCGGAGACTACAGAGTAGAGGCATGAAGATGTTCGTTTCTTCGGTAGCTGCGTAGACAGACGGATGCTCCCGTGGGCCGTCGGTCTCGGCCGAGAATGACGCAGGTCAACCGCCTGCCGTTTTGGCATTTGGGAACAATAAGAATTTCCGTTGCGGCCGAGAGAGATGAAGTTTGTCGGGAGATAGACACGCAGATATGCGGTGAGTAGTTTAATGGCGTTTGACAGCAGATAGGAATTGGGCGTTCCCGGTTCGGTTATGAGGGGCAAACGACTGGGGTGGGTGGATGCTGAGGCGTTGTTGACAAGCTCCTGAGTGGTTGGGAGATAGGCGCTGGAGTGGACTCGGTGGAGCGAGGTGAGGAGTGAAGGAGTTTGCCTCTCGAATCAAGAAAGCGACGGTCAAGAAGACACAGCACGCCCATAGCCGACATTACCGGTGCTGGGCTCTGGGCTCCTGGCCAGGAATTTCAAGACCGAGTCCGTTTGGAACACACTGGACGGTGGAGAATTACGAAAGCCGGTGTGCCCGATGTACACACGTGTGGTGGTCAGACGTTTGCGAGCCTGGGGCAAGGCGTGAAAACGATAGGTAAGTAGCGACGATTCCTGGCGCCGTAAGCTGGGTTTGCATCGGTGGCGTTGTTTCTTGGAGACTATGAGTGGCTGAAAGCTGTCGGTCGGCGGTCGGGGTGGCTAGCTTCATCAGTCGAGCTAGGAGAGTTTTGAGGCAAGTGGGGGTTCCACATCGTTGTAAACAAAACAAGCCGGCAGAGAGATATCTTGTCCTCGAGAGCCGCGCTTCTGAGGCCCAACTATGTCTGAAGACCAAGCAAGGCATGTGGAAACAGAAGAAGGAGCATACCGGAAGATGATCGTCAGGGCAAGAAGAAAAAAAGAAAAGAAAAAAAAGGGCTGAGACAAGCGTCAAAGAGGCACAGCCACTACTCCGTACTACTACCTGGTATCTAGGTACGTACCTTTAGCCAGCTGGCAGAGCCCCCTCGGATACGTACCGATGACAAGCTTGGCTTGGAAGGTACAGTAGTAGTGTACGGTAGTATCCGTACTGCTCAAAACGGATAGAAGATGGTGCCAATCGAGCTTGCTCTTGTCCTGACATAGTACGGATACTACCGGTATGTATATACTCCGTATCATCAGCGATAAGATTGGTGCCCGGTGGGAATTGGCAATTGCTTGTTTGTACCTACGAGACTGGCATGTGTCAAGGAACGTGCTCTATACTACCGGTATCTATCCAGTCTGGGCAGGTAAAAATCGGTGAGCTGCGAGTTAGGCGGCAGCAGTACATGCATACTCCGGACGAGCGCTAGCTATTACTGTCATTACCGCCAGCCATCACTTGGCCGGGTCCACTGGTGGTGCATAAGCTTGAGATAACGTGTCAGTCGTGAAAAATGAAGATGAAAACACGCTGTTCAACCCTGGCCGTCCTGTCTTGTCCCGTCCTGTCCCATTTTGGCGAGGCAACCCCTGCTCGTTTCCCGGTTTCGACCAGTTTCGCACAAGTCGTACCTTTGGGTACGATACCTAGTTTGCATAGCACGCTGCCCAAGGTACCTCCCACTGGCGCCTGCCTATCCGTACCTACCTGCCTACCTACCTTAGTATCTACCTTACGCTTACGCAGACGGCCAGAAAACACCCCATGTCATTCTACCGGTTCCAGTCCAGGGGCCCACGCATGACATGGCATTCCAATCGAAACCTCTCTCGCTACCTAGGCCACCTTTATTGCCGCTCGCTCTACCGCTGAAGAATCATATGAATACGAGCTCTTCGGCCATCCACTCACCCATGCCACTACCGTTCCTTCATCTTGTTCTTCCCCAGACCCGACGATGGACCCTGACCTGGTACTCCTTTCCCACTCTATCCGATCCGTTCCCTGACGGTGAAACCACGCCTGCGCCTGCCCGCTGTCTCGGTTCACACTGCTACCTTGCCTGGCTGAACCACACCCACAGACACAAAGATCCGGTTTGCCGGCCCATCCTTGCCGTCGGTTCTGTCGCTGGTTTGGGGAGCTTCTTGTCCCATCAAGGGTCGCATCCCTGCAAACCAAGTAATATCTTAGCTTCCCACGCGCCGCCACTGGTGTGTGTGTGCGTATGTTTGTGTGGGTGTGTCAACACTGTCTCCTGTGTCCTTCAACCCGCGCCGACAAGAAAGGACGCAAACCTTGACAAAGACTTCTCTTCCCTTATCACGACAACTCCGCTCGATTGACGAGTGCGTCCGTTACCACAACAGAATATCGCAACCACCCACAGCAGAAACATAACGGTTGATCCGGGGCCCACGGGCGACACATCCCAGACAGCTCCCTTCAAGGCGGTTTCCGCCGCCTCGGAGAACCAGTCCACAACGTTCCGCGCCCTCCGGACGTCGATAAACAACGAAACCAAAAACTCCGACGACTTTGAAGGCCACCGGTCCTCCCATCCTTTTTCGAAATACTTCAGATCCCATTTCTCAGTCCGCCACATAACGATTCTTTATCGGTCTGCTCTGTGCGAACACCACAGCATCTCTCGGGCACATAGGGCCCCCCGAGCCCTCCCTAGCTCTCCCTCCAACTGCCTTCTCCACCCATTGCCCATGATGGCTCGTTTCAAAGGCCCGAGGTCACTCGCCGCGAGCATAGCTATCTTGTTCACCTTCCTCGCGACAGCGTCGGTAGCCACTGAAACCGTTTACATCACCGGACAAGACAAAGATGGCAACACCGAGCAGCTCGCCGTCAACCGTAGACCCAGCCTTTATACCGGCGACTTTGGCGACTGTCTTGGAGGGCAGAGCTTGTTCAACATCACCAAATTCGACGCCGCCTACTACGCTGACAACATGACGGTTCAATTCCACCTGGACGGAACGACCAACATTAGGAACGAGTCGTTGATGAGTAGGTTGAGGCAAATCTCCGACATCTTATACGGATGCTAACTGTGTTGCAGTGCACATCAATGTCGAAGCATGTAAGCTCAAGCCGAGTTGGGACGAACCTGTACAATGGGATGGGTATGCTGACTTGGGGCAGACGGCGAGACAAGATACGAGATGAACTTTAATCCTTGCATGGCAAATATTGCTAGGTGCGTTTGCGTCGTCCTTGCACCGTCCGAATCGACATGCCCACTGACCTTCCCAGTCTGTGCCCTCTGAACGCCAGCAACCCCATCACGGCATTTGCCGAGTTCAGGCTTACACCAGCTCAAATCGATGGTATTCCATCCATCGCCCTCGATATACCTGATTTTGAAGGTTCCGCCCGGATTCAGATATTCGCGAATTCCAGTCAGACTCAGATTGGATGTTTCCAGGCCGTCATGCGCAACGGCAACAGCTTTTCTCATCCGGCGGCGATTTCGTCCATCCTGGGTGTCTTCACTCTTGCCGCCCTCCTGGCCTCTTTTGCGACTGCGATATACGGCGTCAGCATTCCTCACATGAGAACGCATCACGCTCATTCCTTGTCCGTTCTGGTTATTTTCGAGACCTTTCAGACTGTTTTCTTCTCAGGCGCCATGTCTGTTGACTGGCCCAGCGTTCTGCCGGCATGGTGGAGCAACTTCGGGTGGGCGGCTGGCATGATATACAGCGAGAGAATGGTGGGCTCGATCGACGGATTCGCTGGCGTAACCGGCAATGCTAGCCAAGTAGGCGGTGCGGGCTCGACCGTTATCAATACCGGCGGTGGTCTTGTGCAACAAATATACGGCCGCTCACTGGACACATTTCCTACGACTGGCGATGCTGGACCCATTCAGAGCCTCGCCCAGCGTGCGGTCCGGACCTACAACACAAGCAACCCGTACGAGTACTACTGGGCAGGCGACCCGGTATCCCCAGGAATGCCTACGCCAGGTACATGGATTGGGTTCGCTGGAGACCTGTCTGCCCTGGGCATCCCGGCAGCCGATGCTTTCACTCTAGGTCTCATTTGGTGGTTGGTTGCAATCGGGCTGATCGCCGTCTCCATCACCATGTTCAAGTTCGCCCTCGACATGCTGGTTAGGGCGAAGCTGCTCAACGAGGATCGCTTCCTCTACTTTCGCAATCACCTGGGCGGATACCTGGCGGCAGGAATCCTCCGAACCCTTCTCGTTTCCTTCTTTTCACTGATGACTCTGGCATTGTTCCAGTTCAATATTCGGGCGCCTGCAGGCCCGACGGCCATTGCGGCTGTTGTTTTCATTTTGCTGCTAGTCGGCGTAGGAGGCATCGTGGCATATGCCTGTTACTTCCGCCTCCGGTTCGGGAAGTATGAAACGGGCCCAGATACCATCGTGTTCGAACAAGGCAAACTCTTTGGCTCGGTTCCAGCAATCGCGACAACGCGCGCTAGCAAGATTGGAGAGGAGGAAACGAGCGCGAAGCGCTACGCGTCGATGCCATTTTTCAGGATCCGGTTCGTCGACGACGATCCAAACCGAAAAAGCGTACACGAAGACGAGCCTTATATCAAGAGGTTCGGTTGGCTTTCAGCTCGGTACCGCCGGACCAGATGGTGGTGCTTTGCATGCTGGCTCAGCTACCAGTTCATTCGCGCCTGTTTCATCGGTGGCGGTGCGCGAAACCCCCTCGCTCAAGTTTACGGACTGTTCATCTTCGAAATCATCGCCTTTGTTGTCTTCATCAAAATGAACCCGTTGGAGGGTCAGAGAAATACATCTTTGGCGATCTGGATGCTGGGCATTACCAAGGTCGTGACGGCTGGGTTTTCGATTGCCTTTCTGCCCGAATTCGCCATCGGCCGCATCCTATCGACAGTCTTTGGCATAATAATCATCGTCGTCCAGGGTTTCCTTGTCGTTGCGGTTCTGGTCCTTGTTGTTTTGAGCGTTATCTCGTCATGGATGTCGCTCTACCGGAACCGCGAGGAATTCCCCGAAAAGTTGGATGCTCGTCGCATTTCATATTACGAACATATCCAAAGCAGAGCCGCCGATCTGCCGCCGAAGCCTACCCCGCAAGTTCCTCAGGAGCCGCCACAGATGTACTTTTCGGTTAACAGCGTGCGCCGGGCACCTAAGATTGAAGATGATGATGACGAGGAGGACGAGATCGGAGACATCATCCACCCGCACAATACCTCGGCGGTGCAGTTTGCGCCTGGGACCAACACCCGACGAAGCCGGACGAATAGCGTCAGTTCGCGCTACTCCGTCACTAGCTTACCGCGCCGCGCCAGACCTCACCGAACCTCTTGGAGCTCGGCCGACTTTGCCGAATGGGATGCCACCGCCGATAGGCCCGCACCGTCGCTTGCACATCGCAGCAGCTTCGGTCATCAGCGCAACGGTTCGTTGAGGCAACGGTCTTACTCCGGCTCGCAGCCTAACCTGGGGCATCCTACCGACAACTTGCCGACCCCTGAGCGGGCGACATCGACCAACGAGTTGCGCCGTCTTATGACCCCCACTGAGGAGGTTCCAGAAGAGAACGTTGTTATGACACCTAGCCAAATGGTTCGGCCCGACAACGTCAGCGACACAGCCAACAATGTCGCCATTTCTCCCATAAACGAGCGGGACGAAGAAAGGCACTACGAAATCAAGGGCGATGTTTCGCCCATCGAAGAGAAGGCGCACAAGCCTTAAGACGCAACCAAGGGCGACAAGCGCCGGTTGTTCCAACTGCATTAGAAGGCGTCGCAGACGTTAACGTTCAGAGACCGGTTCTCTCACTACAGCATTGCGTTGCATACACAGGCCCTTGAGGCCTTGACGAAGAGACATGAATGATGAGGCGTTTGGTGGAACAATTGCTTTGGGTGAAGGAGAAAAGCAGCCTTGTGGTGCCGCCATAGGCAGGATTGGACAAATGTCCATTACCACAATACCATACACCCATTTTCCGTGGCATAGATGAGCGAGCCGCTCGGTACATAGCTACCACTCTTTGCATATACAACGGGCCGGCTGGTCCTCCAGAGATAGAGACTAAAGATCGAGATTGAGCCGGAAAAAGGTAGACCCAGACTACCAATAGTAAATCATCATCTCCTAGAAAGATTGTTCCACACGTGCGCTGTCACTCGTTTCGCCAACCAGAGATTGATTGGAAATAAATGCTTCAGACTTCATACCATTCTTGATCCAACTTGGATCCGACGTTCGTGCTCTAGTACAGTTACTCATCTTTTACTTTTTTTCCATGCCATAAATGCAACCAACCATGCACCATTTACACCTAGATTCCCCTCTTGCCTTACTCTTTTAATGCCGTCACCCCCTCCTCACCGCCTCCCGTCTACACAAAGCCCTTGAGCACGGCGGCCTCGGCATTGAGGATAGAAGAGCCGGCGGCGCCGATGACGGTGTTGTGGCTGAGGGCGACGAACTTGATGTCGAAGATGCCGCTCTCGTCTTCGCGCACGCGGCCGACGCTGACGCTGTAGCCGCGGCCGAGGTCGCGGTCAAGGCGGGGCTGTGGGCGGTCGGGCTCGTCGAAGACGATGATGGGGCTCTCGGGGGCCGAGGGGCAGCCGAGACGCTGGGCGTCGGAAACGTACTCGCGCAGGGCCTTCTTGACCGCCTCGGCCGAGGGGGCCGGGCGGCGGGCGAAGCGGAGCGAGACGCAGGCCGTGTGGCCGTCGAGGACGGGGACGCGGTTGCAGGAGGCGCTGACCTTGAGGTCGGTCTGGTTCTCAAAGGCAGTGAGGTCGGGCGTGATCCTGCCGAGGATCTTCTGCGCCTCCGTCTCGAGCTTATCCTCCTCGCCCGAGATGAAGGGCACGACGTTGTCGATCATGTCCATGGAGGAGACGCCGGGGTACCCAGCGCCTGAGACGGCCTGCATGGTGACGACGGAGACCTGGTCGACGGGGCCGAAGGCGGCCTGGAGGGCGGCGAAGGGAATGACAAGGCCGATGACGGCGCAGTTGGAGTTGCACACGAGGAAGCCCTTTTCGAGCGAGTGGTGCTTGCGCTGGTGGGGGATGAGGTCGAGGTGGGGGAGGTTGACGGTCGGGACGACGAGGGGGACGAGGGGGTCGCGGCGGTAGTTCTTGGCGTTGGAGAAGACGGCGAGGTTTGCCTTGAGGAATTCCATCTCTGCGGGTCGGAGTTTGTGTCAGTCGCATCCTGCCGCGGGCCGCCGCTCCTGCCATTGTCGAGAATGGCGGCGCAAGGGGAGACTCACCAATCTCGCCGGCGACGTCCGAGTCGAGACCGCTAAAGACGACGTCGCAGTCGGCGAACTCGGAGGCCTTGCACTCGCGCACGACGAGGTCGGCCACGTCGCCCATGGGCGAGGCCTGCTTCCACCGCACGGCGTCGCGGTACTTCTTGCCGGCGGAGCGGGAGGAGGCGCCGACGGCGACGAGCTTCAGGTATGGGTGCTGCGAGAGGAGGAGGATGAAGCGCTGGCCGACGGAGCCGGTGCATCCGAGGACGCCTGCAATTGAGCACTTTCTGTCAGTACGGTTTTGCCTCACATTATTGTCGGGGGGGGGTAAGTCCGGGTTTGCGATCTCGTCGTTCGTGGGTTTTCGACGTCGAGGCATCCGGTGACGGAGGGGTGGGTTGGCCGGGGGGGGGGGGGTTTGGAGGGGTCCTGGGAGACGTACCGCACTTCTTGACGGGGAATTCGCCCATTGTCACTGTTTGTTTAGAGCGAGAGGAGTAGGGGATATCAATTGTAAAAGCAAAATAAAAGCGAGAATCACAAGCGAACTGAGAAACAAAAGGCGTTCGTCGATTGAGAGAAATGTAGTTGGGGGTATAAGAAGGGGAGATGGAAAGGTTGTCGATGTGAGTCAAGACGAGAGTGGCATGTCCGCGGCGGTCCTGGCCCAGTATTTTTCTTTTTGAACTGGTAAAGAGACAACAGAGCGGCATCGGCAGCACCCCGCCATGCCCCGCCATCGGAGCTTGGGTCGGTAGTGGCTCCGTGGGCGGTGGGTGTGAGGCGACTGAGGCCTTTTTTCCAGGGTACCAAAATCGGGAGGGTTTCATTGCGAATTGGCTTTTTCGCTGGGGGAAAAAACAAAAGGAAGGAAAAGAAAAGACCAAAACCTAGTAGGGAGGGTATCACTGCCAATCATGGAAACCCACATGCAACTTCTTGACTTTTGAGTTTGACCCGCAAGAAGTCTTTCTAGAATATATTCACGCTTCCTCTTCTCAGTTTCTGTTCAACGGCGTATAGGCCGAGGCTCCAACTCAATGCTCTTGATTTATCACTAGCAAAACAACTATTATCCACTTTGAAACCCCTCCAGCCTTCGTCCGGAGTGCAGCTCATCATTCTTGTGTCATTCATTGCATCCCGCGAAACAACTCATTACTTGATTCCCTATTCCTCGTCACGATGATTGTTGCATCTGTATCCTCCAGGTGGCTGCAGTCTCCTTGCGACATTCGGACTCAGATACATCTCCAATTTCGACACGAACATCACGTTGAGCCACATCGAGACTGCGAATATCAGTGAAAGGAAAAAAAAGATTGTCGTGAATGATCTGGCGTGTGCATTAGATACCGCGCTGTGAATTGCATCAAACGTCGGCAAGTCAACATCGGGGGTTTCCTATGCACTTGCCGTCCTGGTCACAACGTAGAGCAACTCCACAAATGAAGGAGAGAGGCCAGCCTGTCTGGACCACTGGGCCGATGTACTTGGGCAAGTTCTCCTTTGGCTGCTTGTCCAAGATTGAAGCGAACCCCAAGAGTTTAGCCACAGTCTATGGCGCCCTCAACTTGGTTGGGACGATGTCTCCAGCCACAAAGCCAGCGACGGTCGAGAGACGGCCGTGGCGCTGTTGCAAATGTTGGAGGTGATCAAAACACCAATACTGCCACCCACGCAGGCCATACTAATGCATACAAACCCAAGTAAAGAGGTGCCGATAATAAACCAGCCACCTGCGTCCGTATAGGTCTGGAAAGCCGCCCGACGACGATGGTCGTTTTTTGGGTAGGCCCAGCTCTTGATCAACGCGGTCAATGCCGCCAAGTCAGTCCGATGGATCGAGTATAAGGCGAGGTGTTTCATGGGTTGGTTGGTTGGTCGTGAGAGCTATCCATCCGACAAAGCAGCAGTGCTTCCTAAATTCCGAGCCTGCATCGATCAGTTATGAGCTGAGATGTGGCACTGCCTCGATGATATTCATGTTGCCTACCATCATGATAAAAACTAAGGTCATGTTGAACCAGTGCGTAGGATCGCCGAGGATCTTGGTCTAGATCTGGCAAATAGTCCTGTCCATATGCACTATCGCTGGCCTAGTGGTCTGATAACTCAGACGAGAGGAAGGATGAGACCCTTTGATGGGAAAACCGGGAGCAGCCCCTTCCATAACATTTCAATAAGCTGAGCTAACATCAGCTTTGAATTTCTCAGTTAACCAAGGAGATCATAAGGTTATTAGCATCCTTTCTTCTGCTATCCTCAGAAATAGTTAGGTCAGTATATGTATGGGAAGCTCAACACTTATTCTTCTTCAGACGGTGCATCAGACAAAACCCATACCCGTCTAGCTCATTAACATCAAAAGAGAGCATCATTCACTTTGAACATATAACAAAAGCTGAATAAAATAAAATAAAAATAAAAATACTGGCATTATACAGCTGCAAAGATGAGAACAAGTGCTATATTCCACAAAGAACAAGGATTGCCTAACTTTGACTTTGGAACATTGTTCCATGCGCCAACTTGCATCTATATTAGGTGAAATCGCTTTGAAAAAGTCTAGCGTCCCAAGGGGGAGGGGGGGCGGCTGCCTGCAACCTCATGATCGTAGCCAAGGTTCACGCCTGTAGTTAATTATTGCCCACAACTACATGCGCAACTCCAGATACTGAAAGTCTCACAACGGCGAGAATTGAAAAATGCCCTCTACTTCCAGGCCGCACTCACCATTATTCATGCACATCCTGTATGCTACGCCCTTTTGATGTTCCACACTAGCTTTCATCCCCTACAGACGAGTGGTATCAACTCGGGTCTCACATTGAATGAAAGCTGGTGGCTGTATTTAGAGCAAAGATAACGAAGGGGGCCTTGAACTATCTTGCTCAAGTAGTTCAACATGGACGACTCCATCATACCATAGGGCTCTCAGGGCTGTGTGCATTAGCTTAGCCTTAAGTGGCGAGAGCCACCAAGCTGAAGCTCACGAAGGACGAGATGATGCGGGCACCTTCCACAGGTTCATTGCTCTCGCCATTCTTGTAGCTATCGTGAAGAGCGGGAGAGGCCTGGCTGCTCCAAGGCCAATAGTTCTTAACCCTAGGACAGCCCTGAGTATAGAATATCTCTCCCATGATCCCTTCACTCTCAACTTCCTTTTTAACCCTCCCAAAAACACTTCGCCCTCTTTGGCTGCTCTTCCTTTCTACACCATTCAGCCCAACCCATCTGCACTTCTCTTCTCATACTTTCTCTTACCATCTCCCCATATCTGCCCCTCTCCAATCTCAAGACTGAATACCTTCGTTTCCAAACGCCCCGTTTCACAAACACTTCTCGAATCCCGCGGCTTTCGAACTTTGTGTTTGCAGAGATACTCGATCGTTGCCATGTCGTCGTCTACTGGCAACAAGATGCTTTTGGACCATCTCCAAAAGCTCACCGTCCAGCATGAGCGCGAGCAAGCCATGAAGGCTGCTTCGGCCCCTTCCAAGGCTTCTGACTCTTTCCTGGGCCACCAGACTACTGCCTTCGACTCTCGCAAGTCGGTTGGCACGTCTTCGTCCTCGTCCATCTCGGCGGATGCTGAGCGCGGTGGCGGAGTCAAGCTCACGGGTCCCAGTGCAATCAGTACCGCCAACAACCCTTACGCCTTGCTCGGTGAGGATGCGACTTCTGACTCTTGTCTTTCGACTCACATGGATGTCTTATCCCTTCGAGGAAGCCCCGCGTAAGTTTTATCATGTTCAACATAACTTTTATTCACAACACCTAATTACTTCCAGCAGTTCCGCCCGCCGTTCGCAGGCTGCAGCTAAGGCCTTACGCCCTACCTCTTCTGCCACGGCCGCTGTGTAAGCTAACATCTTTCACATCTTCAGCGGGTGCTAACCTCGTTCTACAGCCGGACGTACAAGTATCCTCCCCAGGAGACCGATGAGGAGAATGATGTATTCAAGGACACCTTCGTCAGCTCAAAGGAGCGCCCCTTGGTTGTCTCTACTGGCTCCTACAGTCTCGGCCAGGCCCATCTACAGCAGCCAGGTTTGAAGGGTAAGGGTTCCGCTCATAGCGGTGAGTACGTTGGCGGATCTCCCATCAAGGGCGGCTCTTCCTACATGCGCAACCCAGTCGACCCTCAGGCGACCTACCCAACTGGTGCTTGCATCTTCGTCGCCAAGTAAGTTTCAAAGCTCCAAGATGCTGTGTCCGCCACACTAAAGGTTATGTCAGTCTGCCTGAGTACAAGGATGACGTCACCCTTGAAGCGGCTGTCATCAAGGAGTTTGAGCGATTCGGAGTTGTCTTCGTCAAGATTCGTCGTGATCCACAGGGTATGCCCTTCGGCTTTTGCCAGTTCACCGTAAGTCCTTCAATAAACGCCCGAGGTTACCGTGCCCAAACTGACACATTTGCAGACCAAAGAGGATGCTGAAAATGCTCGCATCAACGGCAAGGGTTCCTTGATCCTCGGGCGCCCCTGCCGCACCGAGACAGTTCGCGCCAATCGTAAGTCTACCCTTGCTTCCTTTGTCATTCTTGTCCCTGACGCTCATTGAAACAGGTACATACATCATCTTCCGTCGTGATGGAACCGAAATCACCATGGAAGAGGCCAACGAGCTCATGCGTCCCTTCGGCACGATCGAGACCTTCCGCGTCCTTGATCCCCAGATCCGGGACCAGCTTCAGCTTCCCGTCACAATCAGAGTTCAATTCGAGGTGTTCGACCCGTCTCAGCAGGTTCTTCGTGCGTTCCGTCTCAACAAGACGTACAAAGTCGAGCCTTTCGACTTCAAGAAGGCCATGCAGGCCAGAGCTCGCAACGCCGATCGCGCTTTTCTTGACTCGTACGATCGCGATCGTCGTTCCATCTTTATTGGAGACCTCCCTCTGAACTTCAGTGAGAACGATATCCGTATCCTCATGGAGGAGATCGGTGGTGTAGTCTCGGTTCAGACCAAGCGTCTTGACTACGCTCGTGGTGAGTATCCGTTATGTTTTCAAACTCATGTGGCTAAATGCTGACTCTCACGCATACACAGAAGGCCCCAAGCTCATCGCTTTCGTTGAGTTTACCAATGCCTCGTACCCCGACATGGCCATTGAGCGTTATGTGAGTTTCGATGCCTACCATTGCCTACTTGGTCGAAGGAAGTGTATGTACTAACGGGCTCGTCAGAACTTGAACCGCATCGAGGGTTACACGATTCGCGTCGAGCGGCGCACCGATAGACGTCGCCGCGACGGTGGTATTCACGCTCGCAACCAGGGCAACGGCCACAACTCGGGCTACGGCGCCAACTACAACGCCTTCAATGCTGGCTCTACTGGAGGCATGCCCCCTTCTACGCCTGCTCGCGAGCAAAGAGGAACCATGGCTATTGAGGCCGGTCCCTCCATGTCTGGTGGCCAAACTACCCAGGGCACTCCTTCCATCATGCACGATGCTTCGCAGCCTACCAACCAGGGCATCGCCATGGCCCCTGCCGGCCCTTCTCATCAAGCGGCCCAGTCTATGCAGCAGCAGATACAGGCTCATATGCAGCAGCACGTGCCCCAGATGCAGCATCACGGACAGCAGTACCTTGCTCAGCAGCAGATTCCTCACATTGTTCAGATGCAGCCCGGCACTGGTCATTTCATGGGCCAGGCTCCTATGCAATACCCCATGGCCCCCCCTCCTGTCCCTACTCAGGTCGGCAGCCCCATGCACAACAACATGGCCTACAACCCCAACCCTTTCGCTGGTAGTCCCTACTCTCAGGGCACCTTTCCCCAAGGCACCGGCTCTTCCTTCGGTTTTGCCACCCCTCAGCAGACTCCTATGCCGTTCTGGGGCTACGGTCATGGCACTCCTCTTTGGACTCCGTTCCCCGTCGACCCCGCTGCTTTCGCAGCTGCGGCCCTCTCGTCGCCCGTTCGCCAGACACAACACGGTATGGGTGTCGTTACTCAACCGGTTCCCGCTCAGATGGATAGCAACCAGGCCAACGGCACTCAGTCTGAGCCTGTCATGACTGAGAGCACCCAGACTTACGCCACCTAGGGCCCAGTGGGCAGTAACTGATCATTCTGGTTGTGCGACCTTCATCCATAATTTTTCCTTCTTTGAAACCGTTGCGTTTCCCCTCGTTCTTCTCTTCTCGGCTATACGTTTCTTCAGACAATTCTTCTTCATATTTTGTTGCGATGACAACTAAAATTTTGGTGTGGGTTCTCAGGTACGACGGTCAGTTCGGATAGTGACCCATCTCTTCTTGTGCTGGATGATCGTCATGGGCGATGGATGATGGATCAGTTATAGATGGCAGACAGGAACAAGGCCATAGATAGAGATGCTTGATTTGTACAACAGGCACGCACACTTGTCCTTGTCTACTCAATGTGTGGCAGACACTACTACCTTCAAGGATAGATGGTCACAAATACACGCTGGAGGAGATCGACAGAAGCATCTCGATTTGTGTGTTTCCGCCGTGCTTCTGGCTTCACGGAATTGGTATACCGTGACAATCCGACCTCTGGTCACACTTATCTCCATGATATAAGTGGCTTGAGGGCTCGAACCAATCCTGAACGAAGAAGGGAAAAAACCACATAAAGAACCCCGAGACGATTCTCAGTCAAAAAGAACATCATAATGCTGTGAGCCTCGCCCGATTTGCATTCTCGACGATAACTCTTCCGAGTATCCGTACATGATTTAAAGTAGTAAGTAGTAAGGGGCAAAAAGAGCCGTTCGCTTGCTTTGGGTTGTTGGAAGCGGAGCCCGGGGCATCTTTATCCCGTGTCGAAGCTCAAGCTCCATACCCATGTACATACTCGAAGCGCAACGGCAATTATTCGACGGTTCCCAGCAGAGTCGAAGAATCACTTTCGCAGAGTAAATCAACACGACCGTTTACGCCATTCTCGACCGTTGCAGGTGGTCACCGGTTCGGCACGCCAAGCTTAGGCAACTAGACGAAACCAGAGGTCCATGCGCGCGCGAGCTTCCTAGTTCCCCAAACCTGTACACCAGAAGAGCGAAGCTGTCGGCGCAGCCGGCAAGACGTTTGAAAGATGCGGGCGACACCGTCACTCATGAGCAAAGGCATCTGGGCCCGGACTGTGGACGAACTCAAACGACGCGCGAGCATTGGTGAGAATACATGGCATCACGGCTTGTTTCCACTCATGACTAACTTTTCCCCCTCCGTCGCAGTCGCAAAAGCCGAAGGCATCAAGGGCCCCTCGGGACCATACCTACTCCGAGACTTCCGCGTCCCCGGCTCTACCGACGACTGCAAAATCATGTGCGACCAAGAGATCGGCGGCTTCTCACACGGCGCTCTCGAATGGGTTCCCTTTTCTTCGTCCTCTACGACAACGACCACCTCGCCACAAAGGCAACCGACAAGTAGTACAAAAGGCTACGCTCGCTTCCATGGCGCGATATCCACCGACCTTCCGAAAAACGACCCCAAGATTCAACGCACGGGATTTGCAGCATGGAGAACGCCGGAGCAACGGGCGACGCTGTTGGGCAAGTCGGCTTGGGACATCGACCCCTACTCATACCTCGCGATGCGCGTCAAGTCGGATGGGCGGAGCTACTTCATCAACTTGCAGACGGACTCGATAGAGCCGACGGATCTGCATCAGCACCGGTTGTTCGCAAAGAGGCCGGGCGAATGGGAGACTGTGTTTGTCAAGTGGAACGACTTTGTGCGGACGAATCATGGCTTCGTGGTCGAACCACAGATGGAGATGCTGCGGTCCAAAGTTAAAACCGTCGGCTTGGGGCTGACGGATCGTGTGCCGGGCCCGTTTGAGTTGTGCATTGAGAGGATCTGGGCGACGAACAACGTCGAGGAGGTGGTTGAGGAGAGTGACGGGGATATATTTGCCGCGCAGGAGGCAAGGAAGACGAGGATGAGCGAATTAAGGAATCGGGAGGGGAAGAGTATTCGGTGGAAGGAGAGGTGAAGCACAAAGTACAAGACCAGGGGAAACGGCTTCAATCGTGGTGTGAGGAGGGCCGAATTAAGCATAGAGGGGGATGCCAGCTGAGCAGGCCTACGGCATAATGCCAATTCAGCGAGAAAAGTCGAATCTGCTCAGCAAACAGAGGTTAAGAAAAGCCGACGGCTTTTCAGGGCAGATCCTCATCCAGGGTATTGTAGAACATTCTGTAAAATATCACAACATACAGTGCATCGTAATATGTATGAACATTCGGGCAGTGTTTGGGCTCAGTGACGAAGCAAAGGCATGTACGTATATCACTGCAAGGTCAACATGCGGACCTATCTATTCATGGCCACGGCGTCACCCTTTTTTTTCTTTTCTTCTACAAACATGTACACAAATGCCGCTTTTCTAACAACTACTTCCGACAAGTTCTGACCGACAGCTCGGGTTGTGGTTTGGGTGGGAGGACTTTCTGAGTTGGATTCATGACCAATCACATTTCCCAGAGGTTTCAGTGGACCCCCAAACATCACTCAAGAACCTCACTGACAGCATCTCGACTACAGAAACAAACGATTGTGTATAGTGTGTCTTGCAAATTTGTCTACCTCATTCGGTGAGGCTTCCTGACATTGGGGCACTGACCCAGCCTACTCACTCGACCCTGTTGCCCTTAGTGCAAGGTCGACGCGAGCACCTGCTTCACCTGCGCCCAGCGGCCTCGAAATATGGTCAACGGCGTTTCTCAAGGCTCGCTACACGCCATCAGATGACCCGTCCGGAAAAACAACTCGAAACCGATTCTTGAATTGAGACTGCGCGTGGACCCTGAAGCACGAGCATAATGGCCCGCTACCTAACGCCCGCCAAAATAGGCCTGCTCGCCCTCATTGAGCTCTACACAGATGAACACGTCCCCAGCACGGCCATCATCCCCTTGCTCTCTTTCGTCACTTCCCACCTTCTCGACCCGGATCCGCAGAGCTTCGTCACTGCCGGCAGCAAGGAAACTCGCTGGCGCAAGGCCGAGAGCACTGTCAGCCTCGTCATCGGCATCAAGGATTTCGAGAAGCTGCTGAGCGCCCACTCCGTCGTCGTCGGCCTGCCCGGCCGCAAGCTGTGGGATACGTTCCTCACAAAGCTATGGGGCATAAACTCTCTCGACCAGCTCCACGAATTCTTTGGCCGCAAGGCGCAGTGCCTGGCCAAAACAAGGGAGGAGCTGCGGCGTACAGCCGGGGGCGACGAATCGGTCGCGGCACAGCTGTGGCAGGAGCAGCAACAGAAGCCGGGTATCACGCTTTCGAGGAACTCGCCGCTGGGCCAGTTTGTGCGGCGGTGCCAACTCGAATTCTCAAGGCTGCAGTTCCACGATGTGACGCAGCTTTGGACGGACTTCGTGCAATACCGGCAGCCCACGGCGGGGTACCTGCGGAAGAGGAACCCTTCGTTTGGTCGGTTGAGCTTCGACCATGTTCTCATGGCTGGCGAACAGGCGGAATGGGACATGAAGGGGGTGGCTGCGCTCACGTCCGTTGTGTACGGCGATATGGTAAAGAGTGGCACTCCCTCCGCCGTGCCAGTAAGCACAGATGATATTGAGCTCTTGCTTGAGTTCCAAATTGAGCAAATGCAGAGTGAGGAATTCTTCCAAAGGATGCGGCACATAATACTGACAGATCCAGAATTCGGCAATCGTATACCCTTGGAGCTTCGGAATCAGTTTCATGACCTTCTCGGCGACAGCTTTCTTGTGCCCAGCTTGCGGCACTACCTGAGGTTTGTTCCCAAGTTCACTGTTCACCGCTCTCATGCTGACCTGCTGCAGTTTCCTTGATGCATGGAGATCCGGTGACTATCCCACAGCGTTCGATTTCCTCCATCAATACTTTGACTACACCATGCAGAACCGAGACAGGCTTTTCTACCAATACGCGTTGATGAATCTAGCCGTTCTGCAAGCAGACTTTGGTTGCTACAGAGAGGCTGTTGCAGCCATGCTCGAAACCGTTTCCACGGCCCGCGAAAACCGCGATATGACCTGCTTGAACTTTGCTCTCAGTTGGCTCTTTCACTTTGGCAGGGCACACCCTGACTTGGTTAGAGACTTAGAGGCCGACAGTTTGCTCGGTACAGCCAAGGAGAGTCTATCATATCTCCGCGTGAAGGCGAAGGAGACGGGCATGTGGACTCTTTGGGCATCAGTACTGCTCAGCGAAGCGAAGCTCGGTCTAGCAAACGGTGAGAGCGTGGCCACGTCGGTCGAGCTCATGGTTCGCAGCTCACATCTCATTGTCGAACGGAACATGAAAAACATGTTTGGCGCCCAGCTCTCTATTCTTATCGCCTTGTGGGATAGGTTGGGACTTGCACATCTCTCGGCGATGGACTGCGAGATATTCTTGCGGTGTCACGCGAGACACTCCATCTTTGACGACGAGCTAAAGGTTACATCACGTCTGGCGTCACAGTTGGCCGCGAAAGGCAAGTTCGACGAGGCACTGCAGAAAATGGAGGCGCTGGATGACAATTCTCTGCGATCATGGAAGCCGAGCCAGTACTGGTTCAAGTACCGTGGAATCATCAAGCTGAAACGAGACCTGCACCACAATAACCTCGATGGCGCGGAGCAACTATTGTCGCAACTCCTTCAATCCAAAAAGGATGACCTAGAGCCGGACATGGCCTTCGTCGTCGACTTCCTCCACATAGACTGCCTAATACGAAGGGGGGATTTGCAAGCGGCCTTCAACAAGGTCGAAGATATGCTCGCCGCGACGCGCGACGATAAGAGAGACATCGCGCTCCGCGTAAGACTCATGTTGATCAAGGTTCACCTTTACGAGAAGTGCGGACGCCCGCAGCGGGGGTTCACGATCGCCATGCGGGCCGCCAGCATGGCCTGGCGGGCAAGGCTGGTCTCGTGTCTGTGGCAGGCTGTCGGCGCCATCGCAAACATATTAACGTCATTGGGAGAGTTCGAGGCCTCCTCGCAGCTTCTCACCGCCATCCTCCCCCGAAGTCTCGAGTGCGACTCTGCTGCTCTGAGCGGGCAGCTATACTCTTATCTCGCCGACGCAAACATGGGCATGGCAGGCAAGATGGCGCCGCAGTCGGCCAAGCGGAGGGAATATCTGACCCGGGCCACGGGGGCGATCGAAAAGGCGTTTGATCACTACTCGAGCATCGAGGACATTACGCGTCAGTGCGAGATGATGGCCAAAAAGGCCACCATCATGAAGGTTGCCGGTGACAAAGTCCTGGCGGCGGATTATGCGGCGGCTTATGTAGCTTTACGCAAGGAAGCAGCTGCCCTTTCTATATGAGCTTGTTTACACCACCATGCGGAGGTAGAAAGAAAGAGAGGGGGAATGAAGAATCGAAGCGTTTCACGTGGGTGAACCATGAGTACTGCGATGATAATTCCTTTTCAAACGACGGCATTCTCTCGATTGCTGTGACATAGGGAAAATGTACAGAATAGTCTACCCCTCAACAGGCATGTCTTCCCGAGTCTAATGGATCGCTCCTCCCATCCCCTACATTGGCGATGTCACGTTTCACTCCGGTTGTGGCGCATTGCAAAGACACATTTAAGCCTTGTCCGGGTTGTGGTAGTTGACGTTGTCGTTCCAGCTGTTTGGAGTGTTAGTCATGTCTCTCCGGGCTCCTCAGTTTCATGCCGCTCGAGTGCGAGTCTGAAAGAAGGCTAAGAGGGTAAGAATACGCACAAGATGGTCTTGTCACCGTTGCCCCATTGGTAGTTCTTGGTGCGAATGTTCTGGTAAGAGTACTCGGTACGCTCCTCCAGAGGGGGGAGGTGGCTCCAGTGCTCCCAGTGCTCGTTCCAGAGGACGTAGGCGTTGGCGGCAGCGAGGCCGAGGGCGGGGATGCAGCCGCTGTGGGAAAACATTTCGTCAGCAATCCTGTCCGAATACAAAGCTCCCGTCGACCCCCAAATCATATCCCGCATCCGCTCAAAACTCAATCGTCTCCGTCCTTTTCAATGTGCTGGTCGTCGTAGACGGGCACACAAATTCCTGAGCAGACGTCTGGCGGATGGGATTTTCTGTCTTTTGGTAGGAGATGACTGGATTTGGATGAGGGCATACTAGATGGAGATCTTGCGCCAGAGGGCTGGTGGTCAAATGGTTAGCCGTTTGTTTTCCGGGATTTGATCTCGGCTTCCCGCCGCCTCGCTTCGGAGTCAATTGGCTTCAATTGACTTGCCTAATCACGAAGGAAGGAAGAAAGCCGTATAGACCGCATGGGCTCGAGGAGACGAACCAGTAGTGCTGGCAGCGTGGTGCTTGGCGGCCTCGCGCTCCCTGATGAAAGCGTTGTCGGAGGTGCTGGCGAAGCGGCGCTGGACTGTGGAGCGAGTGGCCGGGGCGCGGGCGGCGCGGGCGGCGGCGGCGAGGAGCTGACGCTGCATTTTCTCTTCTCGTTATCGGTGGAGGGGAGAGGGTTCTTCGTTTGTTTCGGTCGGCCGGCGGCTTGGTGGTGGTTCAAGAGGACTTGTGAGGAAGTTCGGTAGTCAGGCCATTTTGGAACTTCCGGTATGGGGCCGCCAGGCGCACAGCTCGGTTAGCGGGAACGTCACGGCCTGGTTTGTGGCCTTGTATTTTAGGCTTCCATGCTAGTCGAGCTGGGATGACTAAATGATGTCAGGTCCAGGCTAGCGAACCCGGTCATTTGTCCAAGAGACAGTCACGTGGCTTATCACGGGATGTCGCGCTTCAGCTCGCGTTCGCCTCCAGAACGGCAACTATATCGCGTTAAACAGGGCGTCTAAGTCTCACTGTACGCCTATCCCGACTTTTCGACGTCGACGTCTTTCGGTAGTCGAATATTAGTCCAGGAATAGTTTCTGATTCTCGGGAATAATTTGTGGGTTTTCAAGACCGATACACTGTCACTTGTCTTTCGCTCTTTGATGCATTATCATTGCCAACGACGACCTCGCTCCGATACGTTGGATATGGGACTTGAAGTGACTTTAAGCTGACGTCTGTGTGTTTGATTATCTTGAATTTCAAACCTGGGGATCCAAGGGAAGTTTACCAATATGGGGTTGCGCATCACGACGTGGAACGGCGAGTGGCTTCAGTATACCTCCGAGGTAAACGGTGGCTAACATGTTCAACTGCAGTCAACGGTATCAGGTACAATGGTCTCGGATGGAAGCCATTGCATGCTCGACCTAACGTGTTTCAGAAATCCGTTTGGATACCAACCATGGAGCACAAAGCGAACATTCCAAGTTAGTCTATCGTCCAGTATCGGGGTTATACCTTTTGGTCATCGATTCTGATCAGCTCACCAGGCAATGTTCGAAATCTTGGAGGCGGACATTGTGATCATGCAAGAGACCAAGATTCAACGTAAGGATCTGCGTGACGATATGGTTCTCGTCCCCGGCTGGGACGTTTTTTTCAGCCTACCAAAACACAAGAAAGGTGAGCCTACCCAGCTTCGAACAGGTGGGCGAGACCTAACTCATCGGGTAGGATACTCTGGTGTTGCAATATACACCCGCAACGCGAAATGCTGCCCGATACGCGCCGAGGAGGGCATTACTGGGATTCTTCCCGCCCCCAACTCCTCCACTAGCTTTCGTGACCTGCCCGAGGCTCAGCAGATCGGCGGCTACCCGCGACCGGACCAACTGCCTGGTGAGGTGGACGAAGCAACGCTCGACTCCGAGGGCCGCTGCGTGGTGCTCGAATTCCAGGCCTTTGTCCTGATCGGTACCTACAGCCCAGCCATGCGTGACTCATCCCGCGATGATTTCCGGCTCGGATACCTCAACGCTCTCGATGCAAGAGTGCGGAACCTCGTCGCGGCGGGGAAGCAGGTCGTCCTAACTGGAGATTTGAATGTGATTCGTGAAGAGATGGACACGTGTAACGTCAGGGAAGCACTGCGTAAGGAGGGCATGTCGGTAGAGGAGTGGATGGGGATGCCAAGTCGGCGGTTGTTCAACCATCTCGTCTTTGATGGACGAGTCACCGGTGAAAGGGATGAAGGACGAGAGGCACCGGTGCTATACGACCTGACGCGTATCTTCCATCCCACAAGGCTGGGCATGTTTACATGCTGGGAAACAAAAAGGAACATGCGACCGGCCAACAACGGCAGCCGGATTGATTACATTCTTTGCTCCGCTGGCATCAAGGACTGGTTCACAGGCTCCGACATCCAGGAGGGCTTAATGGGATCAGATCATTGCCCCGTGTACGCAAACTTGGCCGACACTGTCAAGGTCGACGGTAGGGACACGTCTGTGCTGGATCTCATGAACCCTGTCGGCATGTTTCGGGGCGGCGAACGGCTCAGGGAGTGGTCGGCCAAAGACCTTCTCCCCTTGTCTGCCAAGCTCATACCCGAGTTCGACCGGAGACGGAATATCCGCGACATGTTCATGAAAAAGCCCGCCGGAAAGCCTTCGTCGAGCCAAGCCCCGAACGCCTTTGAGTCGCATTCGCAGAGTCTCGTATCCGAGGATCTGACCACGCAGGACTCGGAATCCTCGCAACAAGAAACTTTGGAGCCATCAGCGTCCCAATTATCTATCCAGTCAAGCCTATCAGAGCCTCCGGCCTCACAAACAAGATTCCCCTTGAAGCGGGCATCTGACACAGCAATACCCGCAAGAGGTCCCCCGAAGAGGACCAAGGCCAACGAACCAGATCCCTTATCCAAGCAAAGCACCCTTACAGGCTTCTTCAAACCTAAGCAATCGCCCTCGAAGCCGCCACCCGCCGAGACCGGTACGGCGATGGCCAGGACAAAGAATAGAGGCGCAGCAGCCCCAGTCGGTGACCTGGGTCACCCACCCCCCTTGGGAGTATCAAAGGCCCCTCCTCCTCCCGCAGGTGCAGCAGCAACAGCAGACGCCCCGCCGCCACTAGCACCTTCCCCGTCGCCTTTGGCAACCTCTTCCACCGCCGCTACGGTGTCTGGGCTCGACACCGCTGAAAGGGTCTTTGATCCCATCGAGGTCAAGGAGTCTTGGTCCAAGTTCAACCTGGGGAAGAGGGTCGTGCCAAGATGCGAGCACGGGGAGCCCTGCATCATCCTCCAGACCAAGAAACCAGGTGTCAATTGTGGTATGTCGCTCCCCTCCTCCCTCCCACCGTTCTCCCATCCTCATCTGCCGCTCCTTATCTTTATGGAGCTGTCATGTTTCTTTGCTCCATTTCAGATCCCTGGGAGCCGCGGCTGACCCATCATGCAGGCAGGTCGTTCTACATTTGCGCCCGGCCTCTCGGACAATCGGGACAAAAGGAGAAGGGAACGGAATGGAGATGTGGAACTTTCATCTGGAGCAGTGACTGGAAGAGGGATCAGTCATAGGCACGGCGTCTTGCTCCACTATGTTGTAATCACGATGGTCTTATGCGGCGTTGAGTGACTGCATGGCTTCCATACTAGCTAATCCAAATAGCGGCCTTTGCGCTACACAAGGCCTCAAAGAAATGATGTATGAACATTGCGACTTCGCCGAAACCATAATGCGCTGCTTATTCTGGATGACAGGTTTCGACAACAGGCATCGCCCGGCCCCTTTGAAGCTATTTAAAAACTCATTCTTGGTATTTCGTTACTCATGGTAAAGCAGGTAGACCGCGCCCGCTGCGGGTCGTCGAAGTAGGGGTATATGTCATTCTTGCTCCGTTCAAACGCCGGGAATCGCCGCGACCTCACCTCGGTGATGAGTCGACCGATCGAGCAGATTGGGTTGACACGCTCCTTCGGTTACCACCACGCTTCTCTGATGGTTTGCGCGGAGTGTAGCGATAGTCCGGGTGCAGTTTGTTATGGCGCTCTTTGTACGCTTTTGCGAGTGCCCTGTATTTTTCCCGAACCTCATGGGACTCAGCATTCCAGGCTTTACCCAGAAGCTGCGCTGTGAAAGGGTCAGCGATGGGAAGTCGAAGGAAGCTATGCTTGCAAACTCACAGATGCCTTTGTTCTGAATCTGAGGATCCATCTGCTTGACATGCGCTTGGCGATCCTTGCGGTAGAGAATGAAGGCGTTGGGCGGGCGAGGTACCTTGATCTCCCGCTCGGGAGTGTTGACGCGGTGCGTTGTCGCTTCAGCCGCTTCCTCGAGAAATTGGGGCGGCGGTCTTCGAACAACGACGGCGATGCCATTGACTGAGACGATCATGTGTGGCCCGGTGATGAACCTATCACATGGGCCAAGAAGCCATCTGTTGCTGTTTGTGTCGATGCCGTCCTTTACCCACATGACACTTTTACGAAGGACACGCCTGTGATCAAGGGTTAGAAGCCAAGACGAAGAGATGATAGTGGACGAAGCCACGGAGGCCGAATGCTTACCCCATCTGCATAGCCATGAACAGCCGGCCTTCTTCGCCGAAGGCAGTGTAATCATTTCCCGAGACGGCGATGGTGGACTCAAAAGCGTTGAGATGAAGGTCCAAAATGCGCATGACAATGCGAAGTATCTCGGGGTGGACTTGTGTGGGGTCGATGTTGCGAGCAACAATCTTGCCAGGGTTGAATATCAATGCCATGGCGTGTGTAGATGTCAGATCAAATGGCGGTGTAAATAGTCCTGGGTTGTGAATGTATAGCTGGAGGCGTCTTGTGTTTCCTCGAGATATACTTAAATATGAATCAGGATTTACTTTGAAAGAGAGTTAGTTGACTTGGCCCTCGAGAATGCCAGAGGGACGACAATGTGGGATAAGTGTGTAATCAAATATAAGAAGCCTTTCACAAGGCGTCTGGTGGATGGCAACCCGGGGTGGTCCGCAGCACGCTGGGGAGAGATTCGAGGGAGGCTACTTGGTCCCTGCCATGGTGGATCGGCAACGAGCCTTGGGCAGGAAAGGGCCCTGACACGGGGAATAAAGCGCCACTTCCCCTCAGGAAGCGAAGGAGCCATGGCATCGCCCGGGGAATGGTTGGTCTTGCGTCTATTTCTGCGGGACCTATGCCTTGGGAAGGTGGGAGGCTGCAGGGAGGCGCTCTTTTCGAAGTTGTGTACATACCTACTTAGTCGTGGAGGAGGGAATGCGCAGAGTGGAAGGTGGTGGCTTCTTGGGTTTGGAGACTGTACCTACCTACCTACATACCTAACCCCACCCACCTAGGTAAGTAGATACCAAGATAGCATACAGTACATGGCTGCTTTCCATGTATCGGGACGTACCTAGATACGGGTAGTCGGCCAGATACCCCAGAAGCAGGAGCGAGGGGTTCGCTTACACCTCTGGATGACATTTTACAGATGCAGGTACCTCATGCCCCCGCCGGCCGACTTTGGCAAGCCGAGTTTAGATAACTTAGCAAGCCACTAACTGTCGCCGCCAAGACCGATAACGGCCACCTACAGCTCCATGCGGCAGCATTTGGATTCCCGAAGAGTGCCAACACTCGTCGCTGCAGCCTGCCTTCGCTACCATTGCCACGGCTTTCTACCATGGATGTCTGTGGCATTCTTATCTGCCCTACATCCACAGCACCTTGCTTCTCCTAACTCTCATGCAAGGCGGCGAGTGACTCAAACCAAGAGGCGGCATCCAAGACGCCATGACAGAACTTGGCCGCACGTCTTCTCCTGATTCAACTTGGAAGCTGACCCGGATTCTTCCCCTTCAAGTTTCCGATACCTACATAGGATACCTACATGGGTAGGTAGGTAGGTATGGGGTTTGTGTTGCTACCTACCTTGCGATACCGGCACCGAGGGCGGTAGAAACTTCTTTGATTTTGTCTGCTCTCTCTCTCATGATACGTTACTTTAGCGTGCATGGTTGTACAGGCTTTCGAGGCAGGTCATCGAGTAGGCAATCGTGCCTTGACAACAGTTGCGCATCGGTCATTCTGCTAACGACTTCAACGTTCCCGACTCCCTGTCGCAAGCGCATGGTACGGTCTGTGTATCGCAGGTTGAAAGCGATCAACGCACGTGTCTTTTGTTCTCGCTTATAATTCCCTTCGGCGGCTATCAACACTATTACGCCGGTGCAGGGGAGATGACGGCGTGGCCTGTGCAAGAGACAAGCCAGCCTAAGATGCCCATGGCAGACCGTTACCATCTGACTTTTGAATCAAGGACTCCGGATAGAGAGTATCACATCGATTGAGGTTCTCCTTGGTATTCCTGCATCTACATCTTTTCGTAAATTAACGTATCACCGTGGCTAGGCCCCTACGAGCCATCCAAATTGCTTGTACAAAGTTTGACGGCATGCTTGCATCTCTATTGGTGGCTAGCCGGAAAAATGCAATTGCATGCATGGTTATTGTCGCTAGAAACCCCTACTCACTGACAATACTCTTCCCCCTTTCCCAATCACGTTTGCAATTGCCGTCTAGCTCCACAGAACCTTTGGCACGAGAGGTCATATTGCACGGTTGCCATCATCTCCCCCCCCCTAGGTGGCTTTCTCCGACTTATGTGCTTCATAACACATGCATGTCATTCATTGCCGTGACCGCGCAGGCTTGGTCAAGGGATATCTACACCTATATTCCTGACATACCCCGTCTCCTTCTTGCAATTCCCTCTACGGCTAGGTTGAGCTATAATCCTCTTGGAAGAAACATTCGTCTACCATTGGACTTTATGCCCAAGACTCTTCTCTTCTCCCTCTCCACAGTCGCTTACACCAATTCTTCCGTCACTGTCTACTAGAACTATTGCACCCCGATCTTCTCTTTCTTGCCGCCCATTATGTCTCGAAATGAGAAATCATCCTCGACCGAGGGCCGCGTCGTATTAAGAGCACAGGGCATGGATGAGGTATTACCTCGGCATCATCTCAATCTCTTCACCCGTTCGGCGGCGTTTCCTCCCGGGCAATGGATTCTTTCCGAGTGTGGCCATCCTCACCAGTTCCAAGCCGCCTATTGCGTGCGGAATACCCACGGGCAACTGGTGCGAGCATCAATGCCACTGGTCAACGTCTCTGCTGTAACGAACCAGCAGGAAATATATGATCACTGCACAGTCTATCACTATGATCCAGGTGAGTCCCAATATCACGGACAAGAACAGAGCTGACGCCTATCAGCGTATCAAAACCAAGGAGGTAGAGAAAATATCTATGCCACTGCTGCCACTGGTCAGCAGGAGCAACAAGCTGGTAGTTGGATCTTGCCACGCGAGCCAGGCAATTACCAACATGTTTCGATACACCCTCGAACAACTGGACATCACCGCCCGGACCTCGACCCCAAGCAAGACTTCTTTTCGCCAACCGAAATGACATTCTTTGCTAGCCCACCACCATATTCATCACTTGTGACAGCACATGCGCAGGCAAACGCAAATCCCCTGAGGAGCCGGCCAGCGATCTCGCAGACGATGATGCATGATTTGGACACGCCCGGCTTTTCAGCAAAAACCAATGTTGGCGGGCATGCACCTCATCATGGGCTATCGATCGTTGACGACTCGTTCAACGACACCTCCAATGCTTTTCTCAGCCCTGAACAAGAAGAAATACATGGCCTCGAGGCCTTCTCCTTGCAAGATTCCATCGGCCAGGATACACATCAATCATCAATTTGGAGTGCCGACTCGTTCGGCACGACGGTGTCTCCAGCTATGTTATCTCAACTTGACGAACAGGCATTCGATGAGCTGTTTTGTCAAGTGAGCGAAGCGAATTACAAAGTCGACGAAAGCCACCCAAGGCAAAGCGGAGGATTGAAGGATGACACCCCCTTGACGAAGACAACATAACGAGGCTTTCGCCTGTGTGGCCGTATCGGGACTGGGTTGGTCAAGGGTTTGTAACTTGGCGCATCATGTCAACTGGGAGGGCCTTTTGCATCATGTCGATGTCTGTTTCCCTGTCCTCAGGCGCGTCTAGTTGGTCCATCCCAACCAATGAGAGTCCTCTGATGTCCGGGTCATTGTAGGCTGGGTCAAACAGGCCGCTGGTCTTCAGCAGTATTTTGATTGCCTCCCGAGTGTACAAGGGTGTGCTGAAAACATTGAAGGGGTGTGTGGGAGGGTGAGAAGGATTCTGGCTCATGTTGAACACTACTTCCTTTCGCTGGCTGTCGACCGTCCACGTGGTTGCTGCGATCAAGCCTGGGTGCCCAAGGATAGGGTCTCTGAGAAAGAAAGAGAAAAGAAGAGACGAGAGTTTGTAGATTAGAGTCATGAGCATGGCCGGGCCCTATGCAAGTTGACCACGGGGCTGGAGCCAGCCAATGGATGAAGTGAAGGAGGCAGGGAGGGGACAAATTGGTGTGTTGGAATCCTTACGGGGAGAGGAGCAAACAATACAAGTTTTTCAATCAGAAAGATGTTCCAACAGGGGGTAATTGAATGGAAAGAGTGTGATTGGTTACCGAGACATGCAAGAAGAAGCAAATAGAGATAGTATTCATACGTACGTCTCATGGGTGGTTGTAAGAGCCGACGAGGGTCGTCAAGATTAGCATATGGACCAAGCCGAACCTAGCCTAGCCACAGTGTGGTGATCCCTGCAAAGGCCCCACAAATAGTCACATCTAGAACCTTGGCTGAACAAAGCGGGGGGGGGGGGGGGGACGACGTACCAGGTCCCCCCGTTTTTTTTTTTTCAACCAGCCTGCCTCACCTTTCCGGATGGGTGGGAAGGATGCAAGGAACCGTCTACACATGCTTCCGAGAATCAAAGGGGAAAAAAGCAAGTGCGCCACGAGCCTACCTATCTCCGTTCTTCTGCGCCCCCCTGGTGACATCCACTTACTGTAAATAGCTCTGCTGTGGTGGCACGCCTTGTCCTCGACCACTTGCGCATGGAGACAGGACGAGCTCACCGCAAAAAGAAGCGACCAATGCTAGAGCTGCGCAAGCAAACATTTCACCGAATCGGGTAAGATCAACAACCCATCCGGCATGTTGAGCGGTGGTGGATTTCACAGTAAGCTCAGGGATGTCGAAGGCAAAGGTGACACGGTGCTGTAATGGAAAAGTCAGTAGCGTTGGTTGGATGGGTTACGCCACCAGAACAAGCCGACAACTCGGAATCCGTGCCCAAAGTCGAGTCCGCGTCTATTCCTTGGCGTATATTCATCCCTGTCCTAGCCCCATCTGACCGTTGCTGGTTTGCCTCCTGTGTACAGGCTCCTGCTCTTCTACCTCGCATGTGCTGATCAGTGCTTTTGTCTTGTCCTTTACTGTTGCTCTATCCTCAAGCTTTGCCCCAGGTGACGCCGAGGAAATGATTACGTCACTATACATGCCTCATCTCTAACAAGAGGACCAGCTAGGATGCTCCCCCCACCTTCCCAACTTCCAACATGCGGCAAGACTGAATGGTTTGGAAGAAGAGCAGATACTCGGAGCTTTTAACGTGTTTGGCCAGTACCTCAGGATGCATCGTGACAACCGCCAGTCTACGTCGGTACTAGGTAATGTCTTGAACAGATGGGTACGAAACCCTCCTCTCACCGACATTAGATATTTGTCGACCAGAGCGAAGCAAATGTTGACGACACCCGACCCCCGCTCGCCTCTGAAGGTCATGCGCGCGGCCCTTTTTGATTTAATAAGCGCCCTGATACC